GCAGATCTGTGCTTCATCAGCTTCTTTTGGGGGGTCCTAGGTGACATTAGGGGTCTTGGAGACCCCTGATATCTCCATAAAGAGGACCTGTCACATATTTTGCTATCACATATAGGGGTTTTATTAGCCCCTGTATGTGATAGCAATAAAGTTTAGTGAAAAAAAAATTAAGTTCTCCCCCCAAATTTAAAGTTACACATAAAAAAGAATAAAAAAGCAAACACATTTTTTACATACATACACGCATGCAAACATGCGTCGGAGGCACGTACGTGCAAAAAAGACAATTGCGCCCATTACGCCACACATGTTACATATAGCCGTGAACGTCGGAGTGAGAGCAATAACTCTAGGACCATCAATCACTGACAACACTAAAATGATGAGCGGTAAAAGCTTTTAAAGTGTCGCCTATGGGCAATTTTGGGTATGGTGGTTTTCTGCGATTTCACGGGTGCGCGCAATTTTAAAGCTTGACATGTTTGGTGTCTATTTACCCGACGTGACCCGATCTTTTATATTTTACAACTACACACCTGGTCTTCAAGCGGTTAAAGTAAATATGAAACAGAAGTCATAAACTTGCGCAACTACGGTTGATCGATTGTTTATGGACTATATATTGATAGTATCAGAGGAACTCCAGTTGTACTGGTAATTAATCCAGAGAAGATGTATGCACCGATCCTGCAGCCTGGTTGGTTGGATAGGGAAACATCCATGTAACAGCACTGTCAGTGGCGGACCTAATAACCAAAGGGCCCTGGTGCAAGATTTTATCTTGGGGCCCCCTCCCAAGACAGGGGGGGCGCGGGAGCGGATCACACTGGCCCAAGGCCCCCCCCAGCGGTCTCTAATGTTGCAGTAGCATGCTGGACTTACCTGAGACCCTGCAGAGCACACCATAGATCCTGTATAGCCCACCTGAGACTCTCTATGGTGGGCTTTGCAGGGTCCCAGGTGGGCTGGCCTGGTCGTCGGGATCCCTTTCCCTGTACCTTCTCCCAACTCTTCTTACCTGCTGCTGCCGGGGCCCGGCCTCCTCCACCCCCTCCCCTGTCACCTCTGCCATGCCGCCCCGGTACAGTTGATACCCATGTAAGAGGCCCCCCAGACCTCTCACATGGGTACTGATGGCGGTGTCCTATCAAAGGTTGTGACTACGTTAGAATGTGTGACCGGTGACGTGGTCACATGTTTTAACGTAATCCCGCCCAGTTTTTCGGCGCCGAAAACCACTAATAGGTGAAGCATTCCAGCGCTTTCCCATCTGTTCCAGGGCAGATCGGCATCGCAAATCGCATGTGCAGGAGAACCGATCTGCCCTGAAACAGCAGATCGGTCCTGAAATGTCACTTCTTACCGACTGCGATCTCACATTCCGCCGCACTCACAAAGTCGGATAGAAGTGACATTTCAGGACCGATCAGCTGTTTCAGGGCAGATCGGTTCTCCTGCACATGCGATTTGCGATGCCGATCTGCCCTGGAACAGCAGAGAAAGCGTTGGAATGCTTCACCTATTCCACCGCCGAAAAACTGGGCGAGATTACGTGAAAATGTGTGACCACGTCACTGGTCACACATTCTAACGTAGTCTCAAACTTTGATAGAACAGAGGCCTGTCTGTAATCATTTAATCAGAGAAATAGATTATAATAGGGAACATTACAGTGTAATATTCCCCATTATAATCCACTTGTCTAATTACATGAAAAAGAGCAGTACACAACACCTATCCTAATCTTTTTCTATTTTAAAAGGGAAATATCAGGGGTCTGTTTAGACCCCTAATATTTCCCAACAGTAAAGTAAAAAAAAAAAAATTCAATAAAAATAAATAAAAATGAAATATAAAAAAATAAAGTTGTGGGGGGTTGCGGGGGGCGGGAACTTACCTGCCGCTCCTCTGCTTAGAAAGGCGGCGATCACAACCGTCAGCGCTCCCTCTCTCTCCTCCTGGCCGCTCTGAAGCTGCAGCGTCCGGGAGGAGAGAGAGGGAGCGCTGACAGGTGTGATCGCCGCCGCCGTGGCCATCTTAAATAGGCCCCCCTCCCAGTCGGATCTTTCCACCCCCGCCACTGCTTGACCTGCCTATATGGTAGCGCCGGCTCTGTAAGTGACGCGCCGGGCTAGGGAATAAGCGACGCGCCGGACTCGGGAATAAGCGACGCGCCGGACTCGGGAATAAGCGACACGCCGGACTCGGGAATAAGCGACGCGCCGGACTCGGGAATAAGCGGCGTGCCTGACTCGGGAATAAGCGACGCGCTGGACTCAGGAAAACACTGGACCTAGCAGTAAAAACAGAAGAACACTAAGGCCGCAGCCTGGTCAGATGCTCTGCTCCTGCAGAGCCCACACTGGATGAGCTGTGTGGGCTCAGTGACAGCCCTGGAGCCTCCATGCTGCCCGGTGCTGCAGCATCTACCATGATCGATCAAGCACTGTGAAGAAAACATAGAAGACCGGGCGCACAGATCTAAGTGCAGTATAAAGTGACTATTCAATAGGGTTAAAAGTAATGCACTTACAGGATATTAAAAAAACATCTCGCCTGTCACGCATCAGATGAAAGTCCCATCTAAGCTGCTGGTCTGAGATTGTTATCAGGATATGGAGAGAGCAGAGTCCAGTTCAGTCCAGAAAGATTCCGGGACGCCTGTGTTGGAAGACACAGGTCTGATCCATTGGCTGAGCACTGCTGTGGCTGGTTCTCCTCAAAGCAGGGTCACAGCTGCTGAGTACATCCGGGTCGTCAGGTGTTGCTAGGCAATGCGTTTCAGAGGTTCACCGCCTAAGGCCCCATTCACACTGATCGATTTATCGCGCAGTAATTCCCACGATATCGCGGCTATTTACCGCGCGATATCGCTCTCCAATGCATCTCAATGGGGCTCTGTCCGTCGCTGTCGCGGGTCGTGCGTCGCTACAGCAGGACCCTTTTTGGAGTGGATTTTGCCGCGATTCTAGCTTGCTCAATGCAAGCATTTGCGCGATATCGCGCAAAATGCAAATCGCGCGACAAACGCGCGATTTGCGAATCGTTCAATGTGAATGGGGCCTAAGGGTGGAGTGGGCAGAGTCCTTTGCATAGGGGAACGGGGGAAGCATTGAACGCTTTGGCGCCAACTAGTGGGAGGAAGCTCATAGTGGTAAATTTCTGCCAGGAATGCATCATCTTTAAAGTAAATATGAAATGCAATAAATAAACAATACCACTTGCAGCCATTTAACGAAAAGCTTCAAGCATCGGCTGTATGTAGCACAAGAAGCTGCTCCTGTGAAATAGCAGGAAAGATCAGATTACACACATAGCTGAACGGCTCAGAGGAGACAAACACCTCCTCCCATTTTCGTTGTACAGTCAGTTATACACTAGCTGCCAACAAACATGGAGACAGTGCCAGGACATCTTATTAGAAACCCAGTGTGATGTTGAAGCTGGACGTCGCCTTTCACCTTGTGACTTGCTACTAGAACAAATAAATAAATTAAATATTTGTCTTAAGCGGACTGACCCTTCATTTCTCCTGTTGCATATTACTGAATGCAATATGCAGAGACGTGGGGACTCAATAGCAAGAGCGTTCATATTGCATTTATATGGTTTTATTAATGGATAATATTTATTAGAACTAGATTACTGAAAATAAAATTTCAACCTAAACTTACTTTTTTTTTTTTTTTAAATTACAAGTGCATTTTTTTTTTACCTGATTATCCCACTTAGTATTTTTTTTAAATTATTTTACATTTAAAAAAAAAAAAATTTTAAGCACAAATACTGTACTCTGTGTTGGTCATGATGAAATCACATACGGACTTGTATGAGGAGTGTCCCTTTAAGGAGGAGCTGCAGCAGGTTCTCTTTGTCCAGCGACCACACAAAGCCTGGAGCCTCATTTGCATATCTGCTTCATATTCATGATCGGCCCCGCCCAGCTCATGAATTATCCATCGTGGCGTTGCCATTGGACGCAGGGAAAAGGGGCGTGCCCGCTCGCTCGGAGAGGGAAAATAGGTTCAGAACGTACCATTTGCGGCGCGGAAGAGGGGGGGATTTTGCGCTGATTGTGTAGAGCGGGAGGCCGGTTGGCGGTGTGATCCCCCCCGTATCCGGGCGGTGTCGGGGTGGTAGGTGCTCCGGCGCTGTGTGACGGAGGAGACGGTGAGGAGGACTCGGAGGAGGATGGAGGGGGACGCAGAGAATGAGGCCGAGAGCCGGCCGGGCCCGGAGGAAAGGAGCGGGGAGAGGGAGGCCCTGAGCCTGCTGGAGACATGCGGGGTGTGCCGGGCCAATATCCAGAGCCGGAGCCCCCGCCTGCTGCCCTGCTTGCACTCCGTGTGCGCCGCCTGCCTACCCGGAGCCCAGAGGTTCACCGCACTGCCCGGGCTGTTACAGGGGGGCAACACCGGCAGCGTCCAGGGTGAGTACCGGAGGAGGGTCCAAACGCTGCTCAGACCGTATGGTGCATTAGTACATTGTATATATCGTTCTTACTTCATGTAACTCATACTGTACTATACTGACCCCATATCACTATGATCCCTATACTGTATATTGCCCGCACATCACTATGATCCCTATACTGTACTATACTACGCCCATATCCCTATGATCCCTATACTGTACTATACTTGCCCCCATACAGCTATGATCCCTATACTGTACTATACTGGCCCCCATACAACTATGAAAACACCCCTAAACAAAAAAAACCCAGTTTTCAGCACAATTGATAGAGACCAGTTCCAGGTTACATGCGAGTCAGATAATGTTCAATGGCAGGCAGGGGGATCGTAAACCTTAATATAAGCAGTACTTAGCAGAGCCTGGAAATGGCCTGTCCTAAATAGTCTGGCGGAATACACATCTGACAGACTGGGGTTCTATACCACTGACCTAGAGATGAACTGCACAGAGTTAGGTTTCATAAAATGTTAATAATTCTTATGGTAATGGAGAGACATTGGGTACAAATTATGACACTAATGTATAAGAAAATAACAATCGGTTAGATATCAAACATACCTATATCACGAGGTACAGAAGGTGGATGGGACACGTATGTATGTCATATATAAGAGCTGTCAAGTGTGATGTCTATCGAATTGTGATTTCATTCTATTCAATAATTAGTTCTTTCTCAGATTGCAACATTTTGTCATTTTGGAAATCTAGATTTAAATTGAATAATTGGTATTAAAGTGAAAGTTCACACGGCAATTACTGGATGAATATTAAACGGTCATATGACACTTGTACCTTGATAAATGCGTAGCGCTGTTTTTTTAACTTCCGTCTGCATTCTGGTTGTCCAGCAATCAACGTTGACATTTTCCAGCTATATCCAGCAAGTGAAATGCTTCCTCTGTGTCCTGATGCTGTTTGGGGTAGATGGCATGAGGTGGGCTGAGCGGTTACCATGAGCAGCAATCCGTATCTTAAAATGTCACTTGTCTGGCTGTTATGCTGACCCACTTTGAGTCACGGTTCTGGAACAAATATGGAAATTGGGAAAGTTTCACCCGCTGTGGGGGGTGGCTAGGGGAGATGTCTGATCACGTAGAATGAGAAATGTAAAAGTCTCTTACTTTGTACATGTGTTCTGGGCCTTTGGCTCAATGTATTGAAACAATGGCAGCCTTTATATTTTATGATGACTGGTTTCCTTTAAGGGCCCTGCCACACCATCAGGAGTGCGTTCCAGTGCATTCGGCCTCTGGAACGCAACCTGGCTGGCTCAGTTTTTTTTTTGGGGGGTGGGTGTGGCGGTGCATTGAACTCAATGGCACCGCAGCCTCGCCCCCCGCCCGCAGTGCACTCGCTGGCACCCGAACATGTGGTACATTAGTGTCTGCGTTCAGGTCCAGTGTGGTCTGCAAAAAATGCTGCAAATACTTTTTTTTTGCAGATCACACTGGACTGGAACGCAGGCACTAATGTGCCACGCGTTTGGGTGCCAGAGATTGCACCGCAAGGGGTGGGGTGGTTTTGCGGTGCTACTGAGTTCAATGCACTGCCCCCCCCACCCCCCATAAAACTGAGCCTGCCAGCATGCGTTCCGGGGGCCGAATGCACTGGAACTCACCCCTGATCGTGTGACAGGGCCCTAAGGCAGGGGTAGACAAAATCCAGCCATGGCAAAACTACAAGTCCCATGAAGCATTGCAAGACTCTGACAGTGACACGCATGACTTCCTGAGGAAGATGCCTTATGGGTTTGTAGTTTCACCACAGCTGGAGGGCTAAAGTTTGGCGGCTACCCATGGAAGGGTAGCTGTGCGCAAGAAAACCAAGAGAACATAACTTTGTTTCTTACTTTCTGGGTGATTTTAGGGGAATTTATCAAAACAAAATCTGGAGCAGTTGATGCTACTGACCCAATCAGCTTCTCTCTCCAGTTTGTTCAGTTGAGCTTTTGAACATGAAAGAGAGAAGCTGGTTACTATGGGCAACTGCTCCAGATTATGTCTGCTCCAGTTTTTGATATATTCCTCCTGCTGTGCTGCATGACCTTTGCAAAATGTTTACTTCCCTGTTGGCGACCTGACTGGGGTTTGTCCGACCCTGATGAGATAAGTATATGCACCGATCAGTATATGGACCTTGGAACCAATATGCACCGATCAGCCATAACTTTCTGACCACTGAGAGGTGAAGGGAATAACATTGATTATCTGGTTACAATGGCACCTGGAAGTGGGGGGGGGGGTATATTAGGCAGCAAGTGAACATTTTGTCTCTGAAATTGATGTGTTGGACACAAAAAAATGGACAAGTGTAAGAATTTGAGGACTTTGAAAAGGATTCAAATTGTGATGTCTAGATGACTGGGTCAGAGGAACTCCAAAACTGCAGCTCTTGTGGGATGTTCCTGGTCTGCAGTGGTCCAAGGAAGAGGAACTGGTGACAGGATCATGGGTGGCCAAGGCTCACAGGCTCACTGATGCGCATGGGATGTGAAGGCTGGCCTGTGTAGTCCGATCCAATAGAAGAGATACTGGAGCTCACATTTCTGAAAAAGTAAATGCTGGTTCTGATAGAAAGATGTCTGAACACACAGTGCATTGTATTTTGTTGTGTATGGGGCTGCGTTGCTGCAGACCGGTAAGGGTGCCCATGCTGATCTGTGTCCACCACTCAAAGCATCTACAATGGGCATCAAAACTGGACCATGGAGCAATGGAAGAAGATGGCCTAGTCCTGATAAATCACATTTTTCCTTTACATCATGTAGAAGGCCGGCTGCATGTGTGTCTCTTACCTAAGTGAAGAGATGGCACCAGGATGCACTATGGGAAGAAGGCAAGCTGGCAGAGGCAGTGTGATGCTTTGGGCAATGTTCTGCTGGGAAACCTCGGGTTCTGCCATTCATGTGGATGTTACTTTGACACGTACCACCTACCTACACATTGCTGCTGACCAAGTACACCCCTCCATGGAAATGGTATTCTCCGATGGTATTCTCAGCAGGATAATGTTCCCTGCAAAAATAGTTCAAGAATGGATTGAGGAACACAATGAGTTTGAGGTGTGGAATTGGCCTCCAAGATCTCCAGATCTCAATCCAATTGATCATCTGTGGGATGTGCTGGAAAAACAAGTCCGATCCATGGAGGCCGATCACCTCACAACTTAAAGGACCTGCTACTTGGTGCCAAATACCACAGCATCCCTTCAGAGGTCTAGTGGAGTCCATGTCTTGACATGTCAGGGCTGTTTTGGTGGCCAAAGGGGACCTACTGAATATTAAGCGGGTGGTCTCGATGTTATGTCTGATCGGTGTATATAGAGAGACTCAAAGGTTAGGCGCCAGCTGTCGTTTTTAAGGCGCATTGGCGACCTGACTCCTGGAGTCTGTCCAGCTCTGCTAAACATATATCTAGTTTAAATTCAAATCTACATGTTTTTTTTTTGTCATCGGATTATTGGATTTTCAGAGGGGTTTTTTTTACCAATTGGCTGACGTTTTTATAAATCAAGAAAGGTCTTCTATAGATCAGATCAGTCGTGTTTCACAGGAAGTGGAGAAGATAAGCGGGAGTTTTTTTTTAGCTTTATTAGCAACTTTGCAAAATAGGTGTGACTCTGTTACACCCCCCAAAAGAATTATGGAAATGTTGACTCACTGAAAGTCTATTTGCATAAGTCTAGACTTGTGCCCCAATTCCCCTCCCAGCTGACGATGCTCAGGTCTTGTGATTGGTCACTCCGGGTTACTAGCTTACCATTATGGATCTGGTTATACAATGGCACGGGTCAAGATTGGGCCTCTTATGTGTATGTAAGGGGGGGAGTTTGCCCAAAAAGCTCTGTTTATTACTTCAGATGGGATATATTTTTAGTAATGGTCCTCCCCTTGGAGCGGTCTTAGAATTGTCTTTAATAAGCTGTGCTATGTGAAATATGTGATACGGCGAGCGATCGCAGCTTGAGTTACGGTTTAATAACTGTAGACTGGCATTCATGAACTGGGCCTGCAACCTCTGTTTTTAACCCCTTTGTGACCAGTGACGTCCATAGTCCGTCACTGGCATCGGGTCTATTTTTAAACACAATAGCCGCCGGGACTCTGTTTACATTTGTAAAGCCGACTGTCGGCTTTTACCATAGAAGCGATTCTGGCGACCCGGGTTTCCCGGGCTTTGCTGCCCCACCTATGGGCCCGGGACCAGCTTTTTGGGTGTCGGGAGGGAAGCTGTGGAGCAGATCGGTGAACCTCCGATTCCCTCCCTGTACTATGGGACTGGGTGCGATGCAGATTACATCCCTTCCGGTCCCTGAGCTGTCATTGCTGGGCTCCTGAAGCCCAGTAATAAGCTATTGCAGTGTGATCTGCACTTCAATAGCTTATTTCTAGTGTAAAGGTGATACTAGGGGTCTTTTGGATGCCTAGCATCACCTTTAAAGAGGACCTGTCATCACCATCTGTTATCACATGGGGGGCTTGTAAGTCCCCCTATTTGACAGCAGTAAAAGTAAATAAAAATACGTTTTTTAAAACGGTATCACTTAAAATGTAAAAATAATTTGAGAAAAATTTTAAAGTCCCCCGCCCCCATGAGCACGCGCGTCTTAACGTAAACGTGCGGCAAGTGGCCTGCGTATAAAAACGACGATAGTGTTATACATTTTGGGTATCACCGCTCACGCCGGAATTAGGGCATTAATTCTAAGGCCAATATTTACAGGTATCTCAAAATTGCTGACCTGTAGAGAATTTTAAAGCATCGCCCATGGACTTTTTGGGGTACTGAATTTTGTTGCAGTTTCACAGACGCACACCTTTTTTTTAACCTGGGCATGTTGGGTATCTATTTACTCGTTGTAACCTCATCAGCTTTTATATTTTATGTTAAAGTGGTGTTTTGGGGCACTAAATTTAACTTAAGTGCATTTTTCACTACATTTTTGGGTTTGATGCTAAGTTGTGCTAATATCATGCAACATAATAATTTGCACCAGCCACAATTTTATTCTACAGGGTCTTGGCTTTCAGAAAATATATAATGTGTGGGGGTTTGAAGTAATTTTTAGGCCTTATGTGGCTCATAACATGGGTGCAAAGAAAAAAAAAAGGCTTTGACCATGAAGGGGTTAAACAGAGATCTAATGATTTTTACAATCACACTGATTGCATTATAGATTTAAGAAGTATCTTCGTCGTCTTCATTATATATCTTCTATTCACTTGTCATTTCTGCTACAACCGTCCCTTGTAGATGGAAGCATGCCCCATGTGTTCCTGGTAGACCTCACTTCTACACATTGCCTGCTTTCTCTGCGTTGCCTTTGACCGATCTGGCTTATAATGACTTTATATGATACGTTGTGAAGGATGAGGATGGTAGAACCAAGATTGCAATCATTAACTCGCCCTGAGTTCTGTTTTACTTTGCAATCATTAGAATCTTGAAGCTAGACTGTATCGCAAAATACATGCATCTGCCAAAGGATTTGTATTTCTGACCATCCAGTCCTGAGATTTACCCAGCTGTGCCACACATCCCAGCCCTGTGTGACAAAACGGAAGACCTGATTTTTCTCTACTGTAGTTAAGTAACACTTATAGGCAGGGCTTGAAACATTTTAGGGTGTCTCACCAGTCAGTCAAAAATTTCACCAGTCAGCATGACCGGACTATCGGCCTTGCAATTTACGTTAACATTTTTTGGGGACAGATAGAGCTTTCTTCTGGAGGTATATAATCACCTCGGGGGTTATTTTTTTTTTTTACTGTATAATGAAAAAAGGAAAAAAAAGTTTCCCTTCACTATGTTATAAAACATTTATTATTACGGTACCCATATTTTTGGTAAAACACAAAAGTCGGGGTCACGTCGGGTAAATAGACACCAAACATGTCAAGCCTTAAAATTGCGTGCGCCCGCAAAATCGCGAAAAACGCTCATAGGTGACGCTTAAAACGCTTTTACTGCTCATCAGTTTAGTGTTATCGGTGATTGATGGCCCTAAAATTATTGCTCTCCGACGTTTGCAGCGATATGTAACGTGCGGCACAATAGGCGCAATCTGTGTTTTCGCACGTAGGCGCACCCGACGCATATCGCAGTGTGTATGTGGTGGGCGGGACTTAAAAAAAATTGTTTTCTTTTAAAAAAAATGTATGCTTTAATTTTTTTATGATTCTTTAATTTTTGTATTTTTTTTTTTTTACACAACTTTATTGCTATTACATCGGGGGCTAAGAAGCCCCTATATAATAGCCAATTTACATGACAGGTCCTCTTTATGGAGACATCAGGGGTCTGCAAGACCCCTAATGTCACCTAGGGACCCCCAGAGAAGCTGATGAAGCAGAGATCTGCTTCATCAGCTTCTGTAGCTGGAGAGTAACACTGAATGCAGGAAGTGATGTAATATAAATCACTTCCTGCATTCGGGGACTGAGAGGAGATCAAAGGAAGTTCGTATACTGAACTCCCTTTTGATCTCCTGTCACAGAGCCGTGCCGGTCCCGGCCGCATCGGGCACAGCGGATCTCTGGACCGGCAACGGCAGTGACAGCTGCTGATACAAGCTATCGAGCGTCTCTAGAGCGTCTCTAAAGGTGCCCATACACTGCACGATTATCGTACGATAATCGTATGCGATCGGGTTTTCGTACGATAATCGAGCAGTGTGAACGGAGACCTGCGACCGTTTCTACTGTACGGTCGCACGTCTTCTGTCGAACCAGCATGTTCGAAAACCAGCCGGGAATCGTACGATTCTCGGCTGGTTAGAACGGTGCTCGGAAGATAAATGCTGAACGGGCCGGTGTGCGCACGCGCACACTGCCCGTTCAGCATTGCGGTCATCGGAAGCCCGCCCCTCAGGAGGGCAGGCTTGCGATGATCGAGAGTGCGATCTGCCTGTCCAAGATCGTACGTTTTTTTAATCCCTTTACAACCATCGCAAGACTAAAGTCTTGCGATGGTTGTAGAGTGTATGGCCACCTTTAAGCTCCCGGCCGGCCGGGAAGCTGCTCGTCGGGCTCCACTGTCTGCTCGTCACAGACTAGCAGACGAGTGGATTTTTCAAGCTCTGCTTATAGTTCTTGCTGCTCCCCCGGCCTGTGATTGGACTGTAATAGAAAAAGCAGTAAACTGATGAGCTCCACTTTCACTCTGCTCTCCTCCTCTCCTCCTATCATCATGTTCTTTGTTAGCATAAAAGCCACTCTGTGCTGCTTCTCCTTCTCGCAGTCAGAACTTTGCTGTACAGGATAGTACAGCCCTGTCTGGCAGGATAGAAGACCTTATTCGTCTCTGCTGCAGTTAAGTACGGTAGCACTTGTACCTCCTCCGTGCTGTCTAGTTGGTGTAAAAAAAAAAAAAGCAGAAGCCTGATGCGCTCATCTGTCACTCTGCTTTCTCCGTGTGTGCTGTGTGTATGTAATCATGCATGCATACCTTGAAAAATCCACTCGTCTGTAACGAGAGGACGGTGGAGCCCGACTAGCAGCTTGCCGGCTGATGTAATTACATGACTGGCCGGTAGCTTAACAGTCAAGCGATCGAGCGTCTCTAGAGACGCTCGATCGCTTGTATTAGCAGCTGTCACTGCCTTTGCCGGTCCCGAGATCCGCTGTGCCCGATGCGGCCAGGATCGGCGTGGCTCTGATAGGAGATCAAAGGGAGTTCAGTATACGAACTTCCTTTTTGATCTCGTCTCAGTCCCCGAATGCAGACAGTGATGTATTTTACATCACTTCCTGCAGTTGAGTGTCACTCTCCAGCTAGAGAAGCTGATGAAGCAGATCTCTGCTTCATCAGCTTCTCTGAGGGTCCCTAGGTAACAGGAGTCATCATGTAAATTGGCTATCCTATAGGGGGCTTCTTAGCCCCCCATGTAATGGCAATAAAGTTGTGTGTGTAAAAAAAAAAAAAAAAAAAAAAAAAAAAAAAATACAAAAATTTAAGAATCATAAAAAAAATGTTCTTTAATTTTTTTTAAAGTCCCCGTCCCCCACATAAACACGCAGATATGCGTCGGGTGCGCCTACGTGCAAAAACGACGATTGCGCCTATTGTGCCGCACATGTTGCATATCGCCACAAACGTCGGAGTGAGAGCAATCATTTTAGAGCCATTAATCACCGATAACACTAAACTGATGAGCATTAAAAGCATTTTAATCGTCGCCTATGGGCGTTTTTTGCCATTTTGCGGGCGCACGCAATTTTAAGGCTTGACATGTTTGGTGTCTATTTACCCGACGTGACCCCGGATTTTATGTTTTACTAAAAATATGGGTAAAATGTTTTTTTGTGCAATAAATTCATCTGTGACATTTCCTTGCTACTAAATATTCCGTGGTCACCTATTATAACAAAGGGGAAGCAACTAGGAACAACAGCAACTTAGCCATGAAGTGGTAGGCCATGTAAAATGACAGCGGGGTCAGCGCATGCTGAAGTGCATAGCGCGCAGAAGTCGCCAACTGTCTGCAGAGTCAATAGCTACAGACCTCCAAACTTTGTGTGGCCTTCAGATTGGCACAACAACAGTGCGTAGAGAGCTTCATGGAATGGGTTTCCATGGCCGAGCAGCTGCATCCAAGTCTTACATCACCAAGTGCAATGCAAAGCGCGGGATGCCGTGGTGTAAAGCACGCCGCCACTGGACTCTAGAGAAGTGGAGACGTGTTCTCTGGAGTGACCAATCACTCTTCTCTGTCTGGCAATCCGATGGACGTGTCTGGGTTTGGCGGTTGCCAGGAGAACGGTACTTGCCTGACTGCATTGTGCCAGGTGGAGAGTTTGGTGGAGGGGGGATTATGGTGTGGGGTTGTTTTTCAGCGGTTGGGCTTGGCCCCTTGGTTCCACTGAAGGGAACTCTTAAAGCATCGGCATACCAAGACATTTTGGACAATTTTATGCTCCCAACTTTGTGGGAACAGTTTGGGGATGGCCCCTTCCTGTTCCAACATGACTGCGCACCAGTGCACAAAGCAAGGTCCATAAAGACATGGATGAGCGAGTTTGGGGTGGAGGAACTTGACTGCCCTGCACAGAGTCCTGACCTCAACCCGATAGAACACCTTTGGGATGAATTAGAGCGGAGACTGCGAGCCCGGCCTTGTCCAACATCTGTACCTGACCTCACAAATGGTCCAACATTCCCATAGACACACTACTAAACCTTGTGGACACCTTCCGAGAAGAGTTGAAGCTGTTATAGCAGCAAAGGGCGGAGCCAACTCAATATTGAACCCTGCGGACTAAGACTGGGATGCCATTAAAGTTCATGTGCGTCTAAAGGCCGGCATCCCAATACTTATGGTGTGAGAATTTGTAATTGTATATAGTTGTAAGGAAATGTTTGAATCGCCTAGAAATGTTTTGGGCTCTTGAAATCTGGTCTTCATTTAAATCATAAGTAAAGACATTCCCTTTAATGAACAATCAACCTTTCACATTGTTATATCTCTCGGATGATTACAGCATTAGGGAAGGTAATTGCAGTCGGGTGTTCATTCGGTTGAAGGAGAACTGTGTGATTAAAGATAATTTTACTTGTACCCTCGCCCTACCTTCCTAATCATGGTGGGGCATATACCTCTCGCCCTGCCTTCCTAATCATGGTGGGGCATATACTGTATTATTCATATTTCAAATGCCAACTCTATAGTGCTCGGCAGCCTGTGGACTGCTCACTCCCTGGATGAATTTTTCAGCTACATTCTCCTCCTTTTTCCCTCTAGCTGCTTAAGGGGCTGTTCATGCATCTTTATAAAGTATAATGGATAGGCTCAGAACTTGCTCGCTGTATGACCATTCTAATTTAGAACGGAACACACGCATACCAGCAACCCAAGCCTCATCTCTGTGAAGCATGGTGGAGGGCATATAATTGGGTGCAATGGTTTTGCTGCCTCAGGACATGAATGGCTTTCAGTAAAATAATTTGCAAAGTTGTATTTGGAAATTCTACAGTGACACGTTCATGTATTTTTGAGTCACACTAAACTCAGGAGTTAAATCTTCAAAATGCATTCAAGTACCGTACCTTAACTATTAACAACAATGTATCTTATTTGTGTATCACTTGGCTGTAGAGCCTCAAATCATCTCTGAATTGGTGCTGACTTCTGGAGGGGGGCTACTTTTTCTTCTGGAGGGGGTCTTCTTTTGTTCCCCATGGTCGCTGTGTGTGTGTTGTAAAGTACTGTAAAGTGTGTTGCAAACTCACTCCCGTGATGGACTACAATCTCATGTTTAGATTACTAATTTGTAGTGAGATTGTAGTCCATCCCAGGAGCAAGCTTGGGGCGGTGACTACTTTACAACACACACCGGGACCATGGGGAACAAAAGTAGCCCCCCTCCAGAAGGAACGATGGTGTCTGTGCCAATTCAGAGATGATTTGAGGCTGTACAGCCGAGTGATACACAAATGAGATGTATCTTTATTAAAAATTAGGGTACTTGAATGTATTAAGATTTAACGCCTTTGTTTAGTGTCACTTTAAAGTTCTAGACAGAGGTTGGAACATGAAAATGATCCAAAACACTGAGTAAATTTGGTAGTGGCACAAACAGATGTTCTGTGCTTTAGAGTTGTTCCTTCAAGAGCCTTAACCTCAGTCCCATGGAAATGCTGTGGTGTGATGTAATGCTGACTGCTCATGCAAGACATTCTGCATTCAATTAAAAAGTGGTTTGTATACAGAAAATAACCAAAATTGCTCCTAATAGCTGTATAAGTCTTTGTATTTTGTTTAAGGCAGGGGTGGAAAAATGAATATGGACTTTTAAGAGGCAGGAGGATTTCATTTAGGAGCCAACTCCATTAACGATAACTAGAGAACCTCAAAAGTTAGGCACCAACTAGCATATTTTTTAGGAGCATTGGTGACCTGGCTCCATGGGTTTAAAATTTAATATTGAATTCCGGAGCCAGCCTGTCCCAATATCAGGTGGCAGCAGGATTTTATTAAGGAGCCAGCTCCATGACAACAAGTAGAGAGATCCTCAAAAGTTTGGCACCAGCTTTCATTTTTAAGGAGCATTGGAGACCTGGCCTCCTGTGATTTGTCCTGCCCTGGGTTAAGGTTATTGCCAATTAGAGTTTCCACTCGTAATATAAGGCTTTGTATATAAATAGACTTGTTGAGTAATGCATCTTATTCCTCTGGCAGTTGAGCAATAAGGTGTAATAATTGCCTAATTCCTTTCTCTGCACTCATCTGCCACGCTGTGCAACCGGTCTCTAGAAGCCTCTTCTCCAAGACTCTCCAACTGGTGGTTGTACGCTGACGTCATTAAGTACAATGCATGGTTGTTAGTCCTGCATTGTACCTGAGGATCCGACCACAACATGGAGTGTTGGGAAGAAAGAGGAGCGTGCCGAAGCCTGCTCAGTGAGGAATAAAGCAAATCTTAAACTTTTTATTACTCTTCTAGACTTAAAGGAGAACCTATGAGGTGAGTGAAAATCACTCATCCTCATAGTTCGAGCCGACGTGTGACAATGAAACTGTCACACGTCGGCTCTACAGATCAGGTGTGAGCACATACCGTCGCTCGCTCACTTCTCAGTCATGTCCCTGCAGAGAGCGATGAGTGTCAGTCACGGCTCCCCCACATGGATTCCTCCCCTCTCCGATCCTCCATCACTGACTGGAGGACCGGATAGGGGAGGGGGCGGGTACAGCTGGCTCTGCCTCTAGATAGGCAGAGCCAGCTGTCACTCATGCAGCTGGATAGATCTCGACAGTAATGTCGGGATCCATCCCGGCTTCAGCGGTCTCAGTATACCGTGAGCTGTAGCTCGGGATATACTGAGCTTTGGGTCACGGGAGGATGCTGGTATATGTCCTCCTGTGACCCTAAAGAGAACTATAGGGAAAAACACTGACCTCATAGTTCTCTTAACAAGCATTAAACCCTTGTGGTCGGCCCACTTCAGGGGTAGAATTTCACAAATCCCAGCGTTCAGCTTTCAAGAAGACTCATGACTTAGAATTGGGGTTTCTGAAGTTACGTCAAGGCAGAATTACATTAAAAAAAAATATTTGGAATACTAGCATTCCCCCCCCATGTTTATCCCTTTTTAAACACGCTGCAAGTACAGAAGAAATACCGGTTTGTGGCAGAAATCTAGTGCGCTCATGCCTTCCTCTGTGACATGACACCACAGTGGGCCCAATAAACAATTTGCGACAATCTCGCAAAAAATTCCCTGCCACACTTTCTTACCCAGCACCGCCAGTAGTTATCAGGCCTGTGGATTTTTTGGCTCTGAATTGCAAAGCACATGTCAGCCCTGCCAACCTTGATTTCTAAACCATTACGAAGAACACAGACCTCTCCTCATCTCCATAACCCCCCTGAGAGCTCAAAAAGTTATCAGCTTACAAGGATTTTTTTTTTGCAAAATAAACTTTCGGGGCAAATTAGAGAAGAGTATTGTTGGGGTTTACGTACACTAAATATTTTTTTGCGATTTACAGCCACCTATGTCCCTGTACCCCCACCCCCCTCCCCAACTAAATATAATCAACATCACCTGTACTATTGGGTACCAATATGACATTACAAGATGTAAGTAGCTCAGTTTTCCTTTACATATGGATGTTGAGGCACAGAACAGCCTAAGGAAAATCCTTATGATTATCATTTTTATATAAAAACTGCAAATTATAAATACACAAGTTGGCTATAGTTGGTAAGATTTTGTTTGTGTGATTAGAACATGGAATGGAGGTCCGGTTACTGACTGTTACTCATGTGTCATGCTTGACCCTGTCGCCAGCTTTAAAAAAAAAAAAAAGAACATTAAAACACAGAATATTCAAGTAGTTTAAATGCCTACTTTCAGTGTTTTTTTCTTTTCCATAATTGTTTTATTCACTTGCAATGTACCTCTGAACTTGTTAGAAAAGTGACCGCTCCAGGAAGAGCCAGTTCCCAGGTAATTTAATAAATCAGAGGTGGTTACAAGTAATTAACATGCCTAAAATACATTAATCGCCATATAACCGTTTGGGAAGTTTGTTTGGAAAACTCCCTTTTATGCAGTGAGTGCTGCCTTCCGTCTACCGATCACTCTTCAACTTCCTGGATTCCCAGTGTGCTTTGCATCACTCTGCTGCTTGATGTAATGCAATCTCCATTTCTCAAGACTACATATCCCATAATGCATTGCTTCCAGCAAGCAGTGATGAGATTACATTGTGGGAAGTTCAGACGTTGAGTTGTAGTTCAAATGCTTAGCTCTGTGAGAGTTGGAAATTGTGTCAATACATTGAGGACATGCATCCTATGGGCATCTACAATAAGTTTACCAACTTATTGTTGATGGATATGATTATTAGGAGTTGGATAGAACTTTTGGGAAATTAGTACATAAATAAAGATTTACAGAGTTATTCACAAAAGGGTGAAGAGTTTGGAGAAGGCAGGAGAAGTGAACAATCTAGGACAACATAGCTGAACTGGAAATATTCTCCAATTCCGCTCACTTTCCAGCTCAGCTATGCTGTCTAGATTGTTCACTTCTCCTGGCTTCTCCAAACCCTTCACCCTTTTGTGAATAACCCTGTAAGTTTTTGACCGTAGATACCTTTAGTCCATTACTCCACTATGGTTTAGGTTCCATAATGCAGGGAATACTGTTTCAACTTCATTTAAGTTGTTCCGAGATCCAACTCCCGGTACCACCATCATTTTGGTTCTATCCACAAGGAGCATAGATGCCCCCGGGTTTAAGAGCCATTATATGCTGTCACAATTTTCTGGAGCCTATGTAGAAGATTCATAAAGCTTTGTGACTTGCAGTTATACATACGTGGGGGGGAGGGGGCGGCATCATTTTGTTCAATTATCTGCGCGCATCATTTTGCTCATTACTATTTGTGTGGTCAGAGAGATAACATTAGGCTGCCTACGTGGCTGATTTTTATCCTGGCAGTTGTTCAGGTTTATGCTGACCATGCCGCCTGACGAGCACTCTTCCACCAGTCAGAGAACCTGTATATAAATGAGGATATTGCAGTATAGAGAGCAACATGCATGGGGGGAAAAGTGGGCTATATTGGAATTACTTTTAGGGTTGGGTTTTTGTTTTTTTTAATTTAACAATAGTGGCTCATATGTGTTCCCTTTTTAAATGTGCCTGCTGGCTCCTAGTTGGGCTTCCAATTCCAGATAGATTTACTACATTGTATGTATTGCATCTGTGCTTTTTGGAGACATAGTAATTGTGGAGATGGGTGATCTATGAATGCCCCTGATGCAGGCTGTCATGTTGTCTTCTGGTGATTGATGACTGCGTATAGCTCTCTCATATCCTCATATAAAATGGTTATTGCTTCTCCCGCCTGCATTGTGTATTGACATACAGATTGACTTTTCCTGTGGCTGATGCGGTTGTATGAATGCATCCATTCCAGATACACTGCTGTAATCATTGTGCTGCTGATCTTGGATCATACTTTTTTTTTAATTTATATTTTTGAGAGATTGGAGAGCAGTTAAAATGTATGTAAACCTGAACCGCATTGTGCATATAAGCAGTGATTAAGACCATTACAATATTTGTCCATAGAGTGCATCATTTCACGATTGCCAAATACCATTATTGGGCTCTTCTATAGTCACGTGGTCTCCACCATACTCCTTTGTGTTTGTAGAGGTGGTTGCAGCTATGTAGCAAATGGCAAAAATCTCTGTTTACTGCTGCCTACATCTTTGTTGGGGAGACCTCCCTTCACTTCTTGGGATGGGAGATAGAGGCTAGGTTTTTATTAGGGACATACCACTAAAAAAATAACCCTTTTCCCAATCTGAGTTTTTACTGCTATCCTGTTTGAGAGATTTTTCTCTTAAAGCCGACCTTTACCCCCTTTCACTAAATACATCAGCAGGCAGATATGAAATCATCTGCATTCATTAGTGAAATGGGAATATTTTGCTTTTATTTATAGTTATTATTTTTCCACTTCCTGGTCCTTCGGCATTAGTTGTGTAATTATGTCCAAACATTGCATTCTGGGAAGGTTACATCAGCAGAACATTGCTGGGAAATCTCATCTGTAATCTCAGATCTCGGAGAAAGGAATTTTTCTTCCCCTAAAGATGATGTCATGGTCGCATGTGCCAGAGTTCCAGGCAGTAAAGGGAAATGGCTTAATCTGCCCTTAGTAAAAATGGCTCCTGTGAGAAGAATGGGGAGGAAAGAGAAATAAGGAATGCAAAGAATAAAAAGCTGGCAAATATCTGGAAGTATGTGTTTTGTAGATTGTCATCACTAAACATTTCTTAAGGTGTCGTCATTTCAAAGATATGAGTAAAGCTCCTCTTTAATGTTGGTCCTCGGGACAGGATGGGAGGGGGTTTTATGGGGATGCAATAAAAAAAATATAACAATTTCACTTTAAATTCTCAGTTGAACTGTTCTGCATCTTGAAGGGCTTGCCGGTGTTTTTTTATTTTTTTTATTTTTTTTTGTGCCCAGTTTGTTTTCATAGAGGTTTCAGCCTAACCTAGAAACCCATAAAAGCTAAAACGTTTCCAAGGTCAGGTTATAATGTGGAAGCTGAACAGTGGTAGTATTGAAGCGGATTGGTGGCTCTATTCAAAGAGGTGATTGGCTGAGCTTTTAAAAAAAACAAAGGCAAAACGTTTTATGCCGGCCATATTGACGATCAATGTCCTGCAGCTTTTAATGACTTCCAACCCACTTTTGACTACTAATGACAAATTGCCACCAACGGTGTGTATCGCTAGCATGAAAAATGGCAAACTGGTGGCTGGTTGCTTTTCATCCATTTGCTCATTCGTATAGTTGAACGTGATGAATTTTACCATGTGTATGTGTAGCCAACAGACCAAAAAGTTGTAAACTTCTCTACAAGGGAACCTCTATGAAAACAAATTAAATATGGAAACTGCCGTGGCCACCTTTTTTCTGTATTAAGGTGGAAGTCTCCTTCACCTCAGTTCTTAGAATCACTGAACCTGAAATGAAGCAGCCGCTGGAGCTCGGGCCTGCATACTTTTTCTGGGTCAGTTGCTAAGTAGCGAAGGGGAAAAAAACAATAATAGCCTTGGAGCTTGTACTTTCAGCTTAAAGAGTATGGTTACCCTGAAAATTGTTTTGCTTGCAAATACTTTGCGATCCTGTCAGTCCCTCTTCTTTTGCTTTAGCAGTCTGACTACACCAAGCACAAAAGCTGACATGGTCAGTGTGCATTCCATTGTTGGTTTCAGGACGATATGACAGCACAAGGCATTCCTCTATCTGTGGTCTTTTTACTGGCTGCACCCCAATTCCCCCTTCCCCCATCCAGCTGTGTAAACAGATGGGGAAGATCCTACCCCTTCTGTGTGTGACCTCACTAAGTACCTACCGTTTCTAGAAAAGACCCACCAGCAGCAAGAGGTCCGTTTACTGGCCATGCCTCCCTTCTAACAGTGTACACAGATGGGAAAGATACTTCCCAGTTAGTGTGTGATGTCATTACTTTCCCGCCCACTCCAGAAAAGACGCACCCCCTTTTAGGAAGGGAACAGAATGAAGGCTGAAAAAAGCAGATGGATGGGTAGAAAACGTAACTAACTGGAGAACATTTTAGTTTTCTTTGTGCGATTGTAATTTATAAACAACCAAATCCATCTGGCTTTCGTCAGGGGTTCAATGTGGCAGGGTGACGAGGCAAGACGACTTGTCACCCTATAGCAGGAAGTTTCTGACCAAGGTTCTTCATGGAATGGTCACCAGGGATCGTTTTCATGAAAGCTGCAGATTAAAATAAATAAAAGTTTAAAATTAAAATGACATTACATGCTAATCTCAAAACATTAGCATGTAATGAGATTTTCGCGATTAGTTTACACCTACCTATACTCCAACTGGTCATTTGTGTTCTATGAGGTTTGTTTCATTGCAGTGCACCACAGTGGTGGCGTAGTAGGGGGGTGGCGGCTGGTTGGTTACTTGGCCCGTTTTGGGGAGATGGTTCATTGGCTGACTGGTCACATGTCTGCAACATGAGCCAATGTTCACTTGTGTACACAGTGATCTAATAACTCCGGCTGACTCACGATCTGCTGATTCTCCGGGTTTACACTGGAACGTTGCATGCAAAGTTTATATTGGAAGAAGTGTTCTTGAAGAACCCCGAGGCCAAAAAAGGTTCATTTTAAAATGTCCATATTTATCTTTGGAAATCTAAAAGTATTGTCACTGCAGTTTTTTTTTTTTAAACATTTTTTAATTTTCCAGAGCAAAGAATTGAATTTTCACAATTACATTTTTTTAAAGTCTTTTGTGGCACCGGAATGCTTAAATGTAGATATAAACCTAATCACTAAAACATTTTAACCTGTTACTATCATTTCAAAAGTGGTGTCAGAATCTTCCTGGCCTTCCAATTGTGCTTCTGTGTTGTCTCGTTGTGGCTGTTTTATCACACACTACATGGGCATGGTGTACTGTTGTCAACACGAGGAAACCCACCCTGAGGAATGCCACGCCACCATTGTAGAGTGCATGTAGACAGGAAGTGGCTATAATGAAGTTGCAGGAGAAGGGATGAAAATCAGTATTTTATTAAAAAATAATATATATTTAGATATCTCAATCTCACACTAAATGTCATCCATATAGGGTTTACATCTACTGTAAACCGTTTGGAACACTGTCCAGAAGCATAAAGTAACACTAAACTCAGGAGTTAAATAATAAAAATACATTAAGGTACCTGAACTATTAACCAAAAATGTATCTTATTTGTTTATCGGCTGTAGATCCTCAAATCATCTCTGAATTGGTGCTGACACTGTCCTTCCTTATGGGGGGTGGCTACTTTTGTTCTACATGGTCCCTGTGTGTTGTAAGGTAGTCACCGCTCCAAGATCACTCCTGGGACGGACTACAATCTCATGTTTTAGTAATTTGCATTGAGATTGTAGTCCATCATGGGAGCGAGTTTGGAGCGGTGACTACTTTACAACACCCAGGGACCATGGGGAACAAAAGTAGCCACCCTCCAGAAGGAAGGACGGTGTCGGCACCAATTCAGAGATGATTGGAGGATCTACAGCCGAGTGATGCACAAATAAAATACATTCTTGTTAATAGGAGGACTTGAATGCATTTTGAAGATTTAACACCTGAGTTTAGGGTCACTTTAATTGAGTAAATACAATTTAACAATAATGGTACATTGAATTTACTTCAGTCATGCAGATCAAAAGGGTGACCTTTTACCTGCATATGTCAGTTGAGCAACCTTTTTTTTTTTTTTTTTAGTTTTTCTTTATAACATTTGCTCATTTTTAACCCTTTAACCTTGATCAGCCCAAATTGTTACCTTTTCCCCTTTCTCACCTTTTTAGAATAGAATTTTTTTTTTACAATTTAATAAGTGTATCTAAACCCAAAAACAAACTTGTAATATATTGCAGTTTACCAGTCCTTAGATGTGGTGCCTGCATTAGTTTACATTGACATTTTTAATAGGTATTTTCTGTACTTGGCCTGAAAAATTAGGTGTCCTCGTCCTGTTAGTGGAGCTAATTGCATACATTGTTATCTTCTTTCTGTAAACCATGTACACCCTTTCGCCCGTGACACATAAAATGGACATAAAGGAATGTTTGGGATCTAGCCTGGGTGACAACCATAGCTCCCTCCATAGATCGATGCGGTGCAGTTAGTGAGTGTTGTCACCTTAGCACAGGAAGTGTGTTACTGGCAG